TGTGGTCAATGACGTGAGACAAACTATATGTGAACTGCTGTATGGAAAGTGAATTTGCTCTGTAAATCTTCACCCAAATCACAATAAATTAAAAATTATAGTAATAAAAAAAGGAATAGCTCCTAAAGACAATCTGTATTTTGAGGAGGAAAATCAGCACAGAAGGAAACTTGAATGATCTTATTTCTTCATTCAGTTCCTTCACAATGCCCAGCTGAAGAGCTTTCCACTTTAAAAGGAAGTCATTTAAATGGGAGAGAGGTAAGAAAGCTTTGTAGTATTGACTGCCCCCTACAACCACCACACATTTTATTGGCTGGAATGAATAGTTTGTGAAAAGTTTTTCCCCCAGTTTTAAACATCAATGTCTTCTATATCCTCAACTCAGGAAGCAGCAAGTAAAAATGTGGGGGGAAGGGGTGTGCTCCAAGGTCCAGACTGCAAAGGATAATACCTGCAACCCGCCTGTCTTGCACACTGTAAAAGCAGGCTCATCAGAGGACATGGACCGAAGCTCAGCTGTCAGTGGTGCCAAGGAGTCCATTGTGGTAACCTTTCAATTATTAATTGTAATCATGGAAGTGCCCTTTTCCCAGGTACTGTAATCTCACTGGAGGCTTTTCATTAATACCTTGTTCCTATAAAGCAAATGAAATGATTGATTTTTTTTTTTTTTTAAGTAGGTGGGAGTCAAGAAGAAATATCACACAACAAAATAAATAAAATTAAAACAAGAGAAAATATCAAGTTCTATCCTTGAAAATAGCCAAATAAAACAATTACTGGAGTGCCAATGAAATTACCTTAGAACCTGAAGAATGTGGGAGGGAAGCTTATGGTTATGGATTGAAGATTAACTAAATTATCATGTTTGTTAACAGCTCTGTCCTGTGCAGAACATGGCCGGGAGATGCTCCAGAGCAGACCTTTTGATACATTATTAAAGGGTTATCAAAAGTGACCTCAGTTCTACTCGACTTGGCAGAGACTACCTAGAGAACTATAGTGGAAGCAGGACTGTCAAAGGGGGCATGGAGTATGAAGACAAGCATGTATGCACACTCTTCCTCATGGAGGAGATGGTAACCGTGCCAGGGCTCAATGGCCTCTCTCTATTCCTTTCATAGGCTGGTGGAGGGGAAATCTAGCCTGAGGGCCTACTTTAGGCCTCCATATTCTCCTCAGGCTTCCCAAGACCTCTGGTGCTCAGTTATCATAAGACTAGAAGTGTGCCCCCAGCAGGTAGATGGAGAACTTAGGACCAAGCCAAGTGTGGTACCAGGGCAGCTGAAGGAGGATGAGGAGATAGGGTAAGAGAATGGACTACTGCATGTCAAACTCCCTTCAGAAAAATTATCTTCTTT